CAGAAGGAAGCCCCGGTGAAGGCCGGGGACGCGCTGGAGGGACTATATCTCTCGGCTGGCCTGGGAACGCCTCGCCATTCCCCCGGAGGAGCTGGAGGAAGTGTCTGGAGAGAGGAAAGTCTGGGCATCTTTGCTTAGACTGCTGCCCGGATAAGCGGAGGAAAATGGATGGATGGATAGTTTAGGCTATGTAATGTAGCAAAACTGTATAGTTTGCACAGCTGCCTGAATTCTATTTTAAATGTATAACAGATCATTTCTCACAAACTGTTTCTGCCTCTGAAATCTACGTCACTATGAACCACTGATTCTTGATCAACACTAAAGTGCTTGGTTTGCTTTTTTTTTCCAGCTAAAGAACATCGCTAGACTTTGACCCATTGTGTTTCAAGCTGAAGAGGAGATTATTTCCAGCCTTATTTCATCCCGTCTCACCAGCCCTGGACTGCTGCTATGAGCATGTTATCTAAAAGGCCTGGTGACATGGATCTTGACAATGGCTTCCCATTAAATTCAGAATCCAAATCCAGATTCTTGTGATCCTTTATTGGGCAATTTAGATCTATTTGTACTGTTTTTATTCTCCGTATGTTTCTATTTTATATTTGTTGCTGTACACCCTGTAAATATAATTTTATTGTAGAGCACTGTGACGTCTACTTTTGAAAGGTGGTACAGAACTACCTTAGAAAACCTGCCCTATAATGTGTCTGTAACAAGCAGAGGCAATCAAAGAAAATACAACTCTTTTAAAAATTGGTGTCGAAAACATTACTTTATTAGCTAGGATGAAATGTCCTATCAAGTACAAAAGAGAATCTCTTCAGAGTTGCCACAATCTGTTAAAAACATAGAGTACTTCTTATCTGCAGTTACTTTTCTTCAACATTACTCAAAAAACTGAGAACCTTTTATTGATATGAATAAATAATACAAGAAACGCAATGTCAATAGTGAAGTTATGCTAAACTGGTTTTGTTTTGTTGTTGTTTTTTTTACAAAAAATGAAAAACTCTTTACAAGAGTTACTGTGTCACTCTACCTCATTCAAAACCTTTATGCTCACAATATGCAGCACTTTTAATATAAAGGGCAAGTTCACCTAAATGTAGAGTTCACTTCAATTAAAGCAAAAAAATAGTTAAAATATATGTGGGCTTAGTTGTTGGTTGAAAGAGTGAAAAATAAGTTTCTACTGCACTAAAAATCTTTCATCTCTACATATTTGGACAGCAGTAATATACAATAGAAATTACAAACAGTGGATGAAACATCATCATCATCAGTTTACAGTGACAGGCATTTGTGTGAAAGACACAAATGCACCTAAGAACTTAAGACAGATGATACATAGTCTCTCAACTCAACACACACACACGCACAAACCCTGACTGAAACTGAAACCGTTTTGAACAAATCAGTGTAGATCACTTTAACCGTCTTGCGACTCCTATGCTCCTACAAAACTGAAAATCACAGAAAAAAATGTTCCCAAATATGTTAAAAATGCAGCTATAAAATTTTCATACAAACCCCATGATAGAAAGACTCCCCAGTCACCACTCATAATTCACTCCCAGACATGCTGCTGCAGACCGCAACATAAGTGAGTAGATGCTGAGCGGAAAGGTCCGTTATCAAATTACTTAACCACCCTTTGAGGGTGAGTTGAGAGACATATGTGAGCCAACCTGTCGACTTCCAATGAAATATGCTGGAAGAAGTGGCTGATGGATAAGGGGAGAGACTTACAGACCCAGCCGACAGAAACAGACACAGCCAGTGTATGGAGGGCAGTACAGTACATGAGGGTTAATTCAGCCTTATACAAGTTTCACCTTCCCTGAAGGCCTAACAGTTTCTTTTCCTCACTGCTGTTCCTCGACTTCCTTCAAAAACAAACAAAAAACAGAGCTCTAAATTACATAGCATTCTTCACTTCATTTCAGAAAAGCACAAAATGGAAACGTCCATTAAAAGGGCAGGGTGCGATGGGTGGGATGTCCTGTCCTGGATGTTTCCCTCTGAAAATGAACATGAAAGCAACGCAGCCCTCAGGTAAATCGAAGAACCCTTGAATTACTTTAGCAAGTGTGGCGATGGTAATTCAACAGAAACAATCTTTACTGTTTTTCATAATTATAGCTTCTATTAGAACAGACACACTGAGATGTGCCTGGTTCATGCTTCGTGCCCACACACACCTGAGAGTAGATAGAAAAACTGTTGTCAAAATAACTGGGTCCATTGGTGTGAAACATGGAAGATGATGCTGCGTATTTATCCAAGACTAGCTGAATAAAGTGGACCCGGATGCCGACCGGTTTCAATATGGTTACTTTTTCTGGTCGAGGAGGAGTGGCATCAACTCCTACAGCACCAATAAAATGCTGCTTCCAGGCATGTGGTTGTTAAACATGAGATGAGAAGCCTGCAGATTTAGCCTCATCATTTGAAGCATGAACTGGGCATAGACATCCTGACTATGCACACGTGAGGCTATTTTTATCAAAGCATGGACGAAAGCTTGAATTTAATGTCTTTATCAAGAAAATGTGACCAGATGAAATTAAAGTTGAATCTCCAGATGAAAAGAACAAAGCTGATGCTTGGCTATATAGGATACATAAAAACTGTGAACAGCTACAGAATAAACCCAACTCTTTGAGAGTCTGCTGCTGCTGTGAGATCAACATCCATCTTGCTTCCCCATCTGGATTTTTCTTCTCAGGGAATTCCTCCTATAGGAACAGCTGGGGCTGCGCTGCCCCTGGCCTGAAAGTGGGACTTCTCTGTTATTATGTCCCATTGATGCTTTGAATGAAAAGGGCTTCTCTTTCCCCTTAGCACTGCAGTAGAGGTGCTGGGTGTTGGGTGCTCTGACACCAGTGCAGGCTGATTTTCTGCTGCAAGTGCGCTCTCCTCTAAAGACGGTTCAGATTCAGGTGCAGCCTGACTTGGACCACGGGGCTTAATCATTCAGAGGAAACCAGGGGGCTTGTCTTTCTTACACTTTGCTTTAGGGAGGGAGCTAAGAGGTTGCTGATTGCAGTTTGTTGTTATGAGACCTACAGAGATGGGCAAAGACAGGAGGAAAAAAACTGTTGGAAAACTTCTGGTTGATTCCTTTTTTATTAAAAGCTTTACAATATAACAAAAATATGCACTAGGGGAAATACAAAAACAAAAAACAAAAACAAAAAACAAACATGTATTGGATGCCAATGGGTCAGACACAGACTAAGCAGCCATGTTGGTGAAATGTTATCGAAGTGTATGATGTTATGTCGGCCCAACATTCTATATACAAGGACTTTTATTAAACTGGAGACTGTCACGTTCGCTGCATTTAGAACAGGAAAGCTAAACTAGATTCTTCTCCAATCTATCTTTACAGGTCCTATCATTATTTTCATTAGAACATAAAAATAGTCCTTCACAAAAAGATATAATATTCACATAAAATAATATTATACATGGGTACAGCCAATAAAAAGAAACTAATAAATGTTGAATGCTTTTTTTTTATTTATTCTCAGCTAAGAAATGAGGTAAAATGTTTTGCTGCAGCATGTTATGACCAATACAATAAACAACACTTCTTTCAAATTAAAAGATAAGTTATCTCTGTGTGAAACTTAAGTCTGATTTCACAATCAAGATCAATAACATTGTTCTTTTCCAAAATTGAATCTCAAGAAAGAGAATGACAAACTCATCTTAGCTTCATATAACTGCCTTATATTCCACTCAAACAAAATATCAGTTATCTGTTGCAACACGTGTAAGAAAATACATTTATTTTCCCTTGAATGCTTTGTGTTACCAACATGGCTGCCATTATTAGACAGTAGAAACTTTTTTTTCCCCGTTCCTTGGCTTCTAAAATAAAAAAGATCACACGTAGAGTGTGGTTTAATATATGCACTTTCTTAAAAAGTTTTTAAAGCTGTTTTATAGGTGTAAAAACAGCACCATCCGGGATAGCAAATTAATTTATTTTTTGTTTGTTTTTAAGAGTGACCCCGGCACCCAGGAGTTTGACATCACAATCTGAAAGAGAGGGAGAGAGAGAGAGAATGGATGGTGTAAATACATGCGGGTGAAGCACGTCACTGCTTTAGGCACATAAAGCTGGATGCAGCCCACAAGACTCACTGAACTAATTGAGCATTAGAGCTGAACTGGTCATAAAAGCTTCATGTGTTGTTGAGATAAGACAAGACTGAGATGCATTGTAAAATGTTCAGCTTGCTCTTCGGTAAATAAACATATTACCGCTAAATTCAAGCATGATTTACAAATCAATCAAAAGTGGGCCTAGGTTTTGTGGGTAAAAAAAAAAAAAAATCTTGTAGTGTGCATCCATCTGAAGCGATAACCACGCAGAGAGGGCAATGCAGCATTGAGGTGAGTTTAGAGGTAGCACAAGCACATAGTGGAGTTACTGGGGCTTCATTGTTGTACAGGGCTCAACTGTGCTGAAACAGTTACTTCAATACTATGGACATAAACAAGGACGACAGCATAAAGGCCACAAAAAATAAGCCTTCTGATTTGTAGGGTCAAATAGTAAAAAAAAACTGGCTTTTTCTTGGGCTGATTCCACTTTGGTCGGGACTGTCTATAACTCCACTAAAGGCATGAAATGACAGTAGAAAATGCATCTTCATTACACAGTGAAAGCTGAAGCAGACACAGTATTCTGTTCTGCTGAGTGAAGCCTGAATGCCTATAAATTAAAGATCCCACCAAGAGAGAACAAGGGTGTGACTGAAAGCTCATAGTGTATAAAGACAAAAGCTGATGTTAGAAAATCCATGTATTACAATAACACATCAAACAAATGAGACTTTCAAAATAGCACAAAGTATTATACATCACTGTTCAAATCTTACATCTGTGGTCCATGCAGCGCATTTAGTCATAACCCCCAAAAAGCAGTAGATGACAGAAAGTTTAGAAGAAACACAAGATGGTGACCCAGAAAACCAAAGAGGAGGTGGAGTCAGTGAACTCCACCAGTGTTTGACTGTGTGTTTTTCCATGAGAAACTCAATTTTATTGCTCTCACTAGAGAAAGCCCTTGTCAACCCAGCCTCTGGCGAAGTCGGGCTCAGAGTCAGCCCCACAACAGCACAACTGGAGCCGCTGTTGGCTTGGTCCTTTACTTAAAGATGCATTAACACATAGTCTGATAAATTAAGTGAAAATGGGACAAGACGTGGTGTCTCTCAGCTACACTGTCCCCTCCATCACACTCTGCTGCTTACAGCCCTTCTTTTGTTAGTCTTACTTTTCTAAAATGTGTTGTCAATGGTCTGTAAATTAGCCCCGCCTGCCACCTAGAGAAGGCAATAAGAAGCATTTTTAAACCAAGAGTAGTAATTTTAAGCAGCTCTCAGCAGCTAAAAGTCTGAAACAGTGGCTGGCAGAAGAAGCGGTTGTGTTCTTTTGCACAGAGAAAAAAAAAAAAGATTCATGTGACATTCCTCCTTCTTGACACATTAGCATCTAAAGCTAATGTATTTGTTTTGGTAACATTAGTGACCTACCATAGATATGCTTTTGCCTTTGTATTGAATTAATATGATTTTAATATCAGAATAATTTGAATTTTGCAACATTAGTACTTTGAGTCAGATTAGCGGTAAGCAGAAGGTTCTACTGGAGTGCCACATTTATTTGTTAGCCGGCTAGTGCTAGCTTCAGACTAGATGCTGCTTTTTATACAGTTTGTCACGACTAGGTATCTGTAGTTTACACTGTCGCTGGGAAACAGGACATGATGAGAGAGGCAAAGAGCGGGTTAGGAGCAGCTTGTGGTGTCAGTTTGTTTTCAGTCTTGGCAGATCCTCTAGTGGATAAAAAAAAAAAAATTAGATAGAGTAGCTTTAAGGACCTTTCACTGAACAGGGTAGATGCTCTCTGACTCAAGGGCTCACCTGACTCCTGTTTCCCAAAGTCACCTGCTGCCATTTTGTGTTTCTTTTTCACCATCCTTATCACCATCTTACCTGCTGGCTTTGAAGCCTTTGAGCTTCTGGACGAAGAAGTTCTCCAGCACCTCGGCACATTGGTAGAAAGGCGAGTCACTGGGGTTGTAGTAGCGGCAGTTATCAAAGATTTTGGTCATGTCTGCTACAAACTCTGTCAGCTTCACATACTCGCGCTTCTGTATCCTCTCCTCCATGGTGGAAAGATCTAAGAAAAAGGGATTTAAATATATATGTTTGGTTATGGATTGTATGTAGAGTACATAATAAAGAGGAATAAAAACCTACAAATTTATGCCCGAAACAAACAACACATGTGGAAGCAGCAAATAAATGTTCAGCTTTTCTAATTTACTTTGCTACACAAATCAGCAGGCCGACTTCAAAGTAATCACAGCTTTAGTGGGATGTGTTTGACAGACATTCAAATATGCTTCCTGGGAGCATAGTTCATCACTTTATAAGCGCAAAAATTCAAAACCTCTGCCAGATTTGACCACAATCTCCTCAGCCTTCCCGATCGGTTAATGAGATAGGAATGATCCCCCAAATAAAATTAATTTAACCTTTAATATAGCTACCACATAAACAGCTTTCAGTGTTTCTAAGCTGGTTAAGTCAAATTAGAAAATGAAAAAAGGAAAATAAAGTGAGTGAGAAGGTTAGCTGGCAACACCCAAGGCTTCATATAATAGAGTCCCCGAGGCTGCATTTTAAGCAAACATAGCTGACTTTTACCCTCCTTCACCCCCACCTAGCTGGCCAAGTATTTACAAACCTCACGGTCAATATCAAAGGCCTCCTTCTTCTCAGTCATCAGATTTCATCTCAAAACACTCCAAAACCCACCAGCTACACCAGTCTTTATATTTTGAAAACCAACAAGGTCTCAAGAGCTGGGAGGACCAGAGTCTCCAGGACCAGTTCAATAGGAGCTAACAGGAGGTGTTGGGCTGGTCCCTTCCCACAGGGAGCCTGGCAGACCTGGACCAGCTCATTAACAGTTTGTTTGTGTGGAAGTTCAAAAAGGCCCCGTTGACGTAAGCCCCCATTTACATGGGCGGTTTGATCTGAGCTGGAGGGCTTCCTCCCTGCTGACCTCCAGGCGGCTGTGTGTTAACGGGTTAAGATATACAGACTGGGTGTAACTTCCAATGCCTACAGCAATTACAAAATGAAAACAGTACTAGCGAGGCAATTTTATCTATCAAATAGGGATTGCTCCCACTTCTAGTGCCTCATGAGTTATGAGTCACAACATGATATTTACCAGTATGTCTTCCTACATAACAGAAACACTAAAAGCAGGCCGACGTTAAAAGTATTAATGCCAATCAACATAAGATGTTTGAAGAGCTCAGCATTCAGAAAACACTGCAATTCCTTACTTTTAGGAGTTCGCTACAAAAAGAAAGAAAAAGTAATGGCACTATTTGCAATTTCCTGGTTTTCTGTGTAAATTGGTCATGAAATGTGATCTGATCTTCACCAGTCACAGATAAACACAATATTTCTATGCTGATAAAACACAGTCACAATCTTTCGTGTCTTTATTGAACACACTCATTAAACATACAAAGTGATGGTGGAAAAAGTAATGGCAACAATGAACCCAGGATGTCACTAAATGGAGGCGCTGAAGTAGCTGGGAAACATTCAAAGTCACCAGTGTGTTTGTGTATTATGCGGACAAAGCCTTTACATGTTTCTTCCACTCACCCATTGGTTCCTTAATGACCCTGTAGTAGTCTGGGGCATCATTTGTATCCACTGGCTCCAGGAACGGCCATGCCATTTTATGCGCCTGCAGAGGAGGGAAGGCCCGAGAGAGAGAGAGAGAGAGAGAGAGAGAGAGAGAGAGAGAGAGAGAGAGAGAGAGAGAGACAAGACACTTGAGAAGGCTGGAAGCTATGAAGAAAAACAAACAGCGCACGATAATGATGCTGGAAGCAGGTGGGTCAACACAGATGTTCTCTCTCGCTTTCTTCCCCATCTCTCACACATACACACCGACCACTGGACAGAGGGTGAGAGTAAGAGAAGAGACAGGTGGGGGAGGAAGAGAAAAGAAATGAAAGACAGAAAAAAGTGCCGAGGCCAGGCAGCTGTCCAAGTAACACTTTGAAGAGCTGAACCCATTAGACAAGACACTCAGGTTTTTTTTTTGTTGCTCTTACACTGCAGCAGGGTGATGAGGAGTTGTGTTAGTATTCAGCCTATCACTGGTAATAAAAGACCACTACAGTGTTACTGCTGATTTAGCTACTCCTGAGAGAGTTTGTGTACTTGTAAAGTATATGAGCAGTGAATTAGTAAAAAGTAAAACTCTTCAGAATTTGGTTGAACCATTTGTTTGTCAGTGTACAGGGAGAAGCAAACCTTTTAAAAAGAGAAGTTAAAGTATCTATCTGTATATTATTAAGAAGGACCACAGTACTACAGCACTGGAGAACTTAAACCCAAATTACTAGGAAAGGAACATGACTGATACTGTTTACAGATTTTTTTGTCTATATCGGTAGTTGCATTATGAAAATCACACACCTAACTAATGTTTTATGTAAAATCTTATTCACTACTGATGTATACCTGTAAGGAACGTAGGATTCTCCGAAGGCCCTCGTAGTCCTTGTCAGTGAGTGGAGTGAAGACCGTCATGGCATCCTCTGTCGACTGACACTGTGGACACACGTATTCATCGATGTGGTTGGCCTCGCTTTGCAGGATGCCCACACAGCGACCGTGGTACCAGTTTTGACACCGATCACAACCGATGTAAAACCTGGGAAGACAGGAAGTGCTTTTGTTTAGAATTTGAGGCTCTTAGCATGGCAGCTGGTCAGGGCAGTGATGTGTAGTTAAGTCAGCAAGGCAACACAGCCCTAAATTCTGAATTTCTCAAAGCATCAAAATTACCACAAAAACTGTTGCTTACTGGAATGCTAATGATGCTAATGTTGCCATGGTTACAAATCTGCTGCAGAGCCCACTTATGCTACATCTGTTATGTTCTACGACTGCAGTTCACTTTCTCGGTGAGACTTTGTAAAGTACTTTGTGCGCCTGCAGAGAGTGGTAAAGACCGCGGAGAAGATCACCAGGACTCCACTGCCCTCTCTGTGTAGCATTTACCACTGCAGGGTGCGTAGGAAAGCTGCCTCCATCCTCAAGGACCCCACCCACCCCCAGCACGGACTGTTCACTTCTCTGCCCTCTGGCTGGAGGTTCAGAAGCGTTAAATGTAGGACCACTAGACTGAAAAACTCTTTCTTTCCCTCTGCCATCAGACTCCTAAACAGCTGAGGAGTTTATTACCAGGAAATACGTCATGTACTGTTTACATTCTGAGTTTGCACATGCATAATTGCACATTGACTGTTGACTGCTGCACATGCTCCTCCCATGCAGCATACATTCTCTGTTATATCCTTTTATTATATTGCTGCATTTGTTGCTGCTTAAAGTGTCCTAGGTTGTGTTACTTATTTGTGTTACATGCATAATTGCACAATGACTCTGCTGCACATGCTGCTCCCATGCAGCATACATTGTTATATTCTTATATATTTTTTATTATATTGCTGCATCTGTTGCTGCTAAAGTGCCTTAGATTTTGTGTTACTTATTTATCTACTTTATATTTCATTTGTATTTTGTGGCATTCATGTGGACAGCAAAGTAAGAATTTCATTGTACAGGGAAACATGTTTCCTAACTGTGCATATGACAAATAAACACTTTGAACTCACTTATCATAATATATTACATAACTTTGAGTAAAACATCATTGGTGTACAAACATGTAACAACTTTTCAATATGTGCATTTTTTCCTTTATTGTTCATTAAGTCTTACTACCGAGATTTTAAATCCACCATTTCATTATATCATAAATCTTAACCTCACTCTAACCTTGAGCCAAGACATCACCCTAAAATTCATTGGACCAGCGTCTGGTCCTCACAGGGAAGGCTGAGTCCGCACAACGTAAGTGTGTAAACAGGTTTTTGGCCCCCACAGTGTGAGAAATGCCAGGCTCCTGCATAAATGCACACACCAACATGGCTGCAACTGCTTACTGGGACTCATCGTATGGAGTTTGACAGATACAGTAGAGCTCCTCCGTGCTGCCCCGCTGGCCCTGTTTACACTCCACACAGATGTAGTCGTCCATTTTCTTGGCCTCCTTCTCTGTGATGCCTACACAGTCGCCATGATACCAGTTGGTACAAAGGTCACAGCCAATGTAGAACCTGTTGAGAGAGCAAGAACACAAAGCACCCATCACTGATGTGTCACAGGAAACTAGGACTGGTTTACAGAAATGTTCTTAAAATATACAAAGCTGTGTTATGTTTGGGTCTCATTTAATGATTTCTTTGCTAAATAGTAACAGTGTTAAATATTAGTTACTATAGGCAGCCTCAGAGGGATATCAAACAGATATATTACGATGGATAACTTTCTTTTGACTTCGGATGTTAGAGTAGTGATGACTCAAAGCTATCTGAGATTTGTAGCGTTAGAGCAACAAAATTTTAAATGCAATGGATTACACTCTCTACACAAAGCTGTAATTCAGATCTAAGTAAAAGCTTTTGTGTTTGTTTCCACCACGTTTGAAGACCTGTGCAGATTGGGCAAATAAGATAACGCATTAAAAAGTGATGAGTTTGTGTGAACTGAGTGAGTTTGTTAGAAAAAAATATGTTAGTGGAAATGGAGACTGAAAACAGCACTTGATAATACAAAATTAAATATGCCAAAAAAATGGGTGAACACCTGGAAACATTACAGTGGTCAACAAGGGAAATTCTTTTACCCTTCATTTTGGGTTTTTTTTTTTTTTCCATGTAACTGTATTTCAATGTGCCTGCTGCTGCACCCATGATTTCCTCATGGATAATACAGAATTTAACTAGAGTACTCCAATGAGTGTCGTCATACTTGGTCTCGTCATAGGGCGTCTTGCAGATGCAGTAGAGCTTGGTGTCCTTCTTGCTCTCCTTTGTGCTCGTCGTTGAGATCATCTTCTTCTTCTTAGACTTGGCTGAGGCTGCAGCCTCCCTCTCCTCCTCCCGTTTCCTCTTGTGTGTCGAAGTGGTGGTCGCAGTGAGGTGGTGCTGGGTGATGGTGATGCCATGTGCGTGTTCGACAGTGTGTTGCTGCTGGTTGAGGGCGGCCTGGGCTGCGGCCTGGGCTGCGGCCAGGGCTGCTTGGTGGGCTGCAGCCTGAGCCCTCTCCTTCTCCTTCTCCCTCCGCATTCGCAGGAGGTCCCTCTTTAGCTCCTCCTGAGGGGTGTTTTGTCAGGACAGAGGGGATAAAGGAATTTCCAAAATCATTTACCTTACTATATATTTAAATTGACTTCTTAAACTTAATCTTGAATATGTAAAGCCATTTTATTATTTTTAAAGATCCCATGGCATACTTTTCCTCATTTTTTGACTTATCTACAATGTTACAATGGTGAATTATCATCTTAGATGTGACCTAAAGGTATCACCATTGTAACATTGTAGCTCAAAAAATGAGGTGTATATATGTTCTAGTACTTCTATGCAGAAGCAAGTCTTACTAACTCTCACTGGTGGGACTTTTTTTCTAATAAAATAAAGTATTACATGGTAGTTTAAGGATTTCCTTGAATGGTCATTATCTCCAGGCATTTCACGTGAGCTTGCCTGACATCCACCGGTGCCATTGTAAAAGTGGAATGTTTTGACTACATGTGGTTTTGTGTATATACTTTACCTCCTGCTGCCGCACTGTGACCAGAGGATGTGGAGAAAAATACAGGGGCTGAGTTTACTGCATGACTGGGAATGTTCCTGTATAGGGACTTGCTGTTTTGCCTGTCCAGGTCTAATGTACAATCAACTGACGTGTGAAACCCCCTGTGGTGGTGAATGATCAGCCCATCAACGCTGGATTCCCCCAGAGCGCAGTACCTGCTTGTTTTGCCTGTTTTGAGTAGAGTGTCTGCTACATGTGATGTGTTGTTGGTTAAGGAGCAGATTAACTATCCATGATGTTATCGTTGGCACTACGCTACCAGTTGGAATTAATTTCACTACTTTGGGACTGTTTGCAGTTGTGTGGGGGGGGACGCAGCAACCACCGGTTGGATTTACCGACCTTGGAGCTACTTGAAAGAAAGAGAAGTTTCCACTACTTGGTGGGACTTAACAGTAAGTATATATATATACTGTTGTTTACCTATCTATGGAGGAGAAACTCAAATTAATTAATGCTGTCTTGGTTCGTCGTGCTGTCCACTTTCGACACAACACTGGCAACAGGAGTTGTGCGTGTTCCTGAACTATCCTCTCGTTTTTAAGAAGAGGCTCTCTGGTTTTATCATTCTGAAATAATTACAGACTATTTGGAGTTATGAAGGGTGCCAAGCTTATCTAGACGTAACCAGGATTAAACATTAAATGGCTGAAAATGAGCAAAATGAGCATGCCATTGGCTTTTTTTTATGTAAATCACTGGTTTTAAAATGTATACTCTGGATAACATTTGAAAAGAGGCAGATTTTGCCACCATTGTTCTGTCATGTCACCCCTTCCCTTTCTTTCTTCATACCTGAGCCTCTAGCTGTAGTTCCTTGTCCAAAAGCGCCCGCTTCTTCAGGATCTCCATCTTGAGGCTCTCTTTGTGCCGGTATAGGAGCGAGGAGAGCTTGCTGGCATTGGCCAACCTCTTCTTTGCCTCCACCACTTCCTCCTTCTTCTTCCTCTTGGCCGCCTGCCTCTCATCCTTGTCTATCCGGTCCAGGATGAACTTCATCACTTGGTTGCATACAATCATCCTGGATAGACACATAAGAAGGTCTTAATTAGAGACTTACATACTCCTAACCTTTAAAAAGTTACATTATGGCAGATCATAAATGCATATTGTATACACCTGTAAAGTACTGTGTATGGAGGATGCTGCAGAAAAATATATAGTCTGATCTAAAAACAGATCAAGAAAAAGTCAGAGTGAATCTAATGAAGATACATGTGAAATAGGGCTATGACCCATTAAGGATATTTATAAATAAATATAAATAATACTCCTGCTGAGAGGAGAAAAGATAAAAGAGCACGGAGACAAAGGACTGTCACATCTCTGGATCTTGAATTCAGAAAGCCAGTACAGTTAAAGTCACAGAAGAATAGTTACCCCTGTAACACACCAGTGGACAGGAGCGGAGTACAAATCCAAACAATGCTTCAATGTTTTCAGAAAGCACAACCTGCATAAGTACCAGCTGCTTCAGAAATGTGAAGAAATATGATCCTAACTTTCCATGTGTAAAAATTGGCAGCGCGTGTCAAAGGACAATGAGAGCATTTCTCTACAAAGTCCTGGGTTTGGCTCTGGTTCTCGACTATCTCGTCATTTGGGTCCAACTGGTTATGTTCTCCGCTGTCAACACTCATATTAGAGCTAAAACCAAAAACTGTTTGTTGTCCCCAACATTTTTTAATAGTAGGTAGATGGTTTCAATTGTGAGTGTGAACACTTTTTGCGTGACTTGACAAATGAATCAAACACTCAACCAACGCAGCCTTTTGAAATCCTGAACCTAGATCCTAAAAGTGAAACAAAGTGGTTACAAATGTGTCATCATCACAGCTGTGTGACTGGGCCACGTGCCTAACAGATGTTAGGGCTGTTTAGTCGTCCAGTGTTTATTTGTGCTACAGTAGCAGGAGCTGTCTCCGCTGTCAACACTCGTATTAGAGCTAAAACCAAAAACTGTTTGTTGTCCCCAACATTTTTTAATAGTAGGTAGATGGTTTCAATTGTGAGTGTGAACACTTTTTGCGTGACTTGACAAATGAATCAAACACTCAACCAACGCAGCCTTTTGAAATCCTGAACCTAGATCCTAAAAGTGAAACAAAGTGGTTACAAATGTGTCATCATCACAGCTGTGTGACTGGGCCACGTGCCTAACAGATGTTAGGGCTGTTTAGTCATCCAGTGTTTATTTGTGCTACAGTAGCAGGAGCTGAGAGCTGGGAGTGAGCTATGATGTGAGCTGGAGGATGGGGAAGCCACACTGCTCTTATAAACATGAGAAAGGGAGGGAGAGAGGCCAAATTATACAGGCTCAAGCAAATTCAAATGTAGGGTCATGGGTAAGGTTTGTTCCTGTGTGATGATACAACTGTACAAGAAATATTAAGCAGTGAAAAAGAAGAAACTATCTGGATAAAATCCAATGTCTGCACATGACAGCGACTCTAGATAATTTATAGTTCTACGCTCCGAGTTATGTTCACTTCTGTTCGCTAAAATTCCAACTAAGATCGAAAGTTGTTGGTTCACACTGAGCAACAGAATGCCTCCTTCAGTATGTGTCTGTGTGACTAACACGCATCCATGGCTGCTGAGGTCAGAGATAGGCCAGTGTTTGCACAGCGTGTACACTCAAATACACACTGGAAATGCTGCGTAAAAGTGGAGGAGACTAATGAAACAGGACATGCAAACACAGCTGATGTCAGGCTTCCATGTTGTTACTAATAAAGTCATGTTTTGGAGGAAAAGAGAGAGAAAATAATGACATGAAGAAATGGAAAGAGGATGAAAAGGAAGCAGAGAGATGGTCAACAGACAGAGCTGCTACAGCAATGTCACGGTAGTCTGGGTTTGGTATTTCAGGTCTGTGTGAATGGGCACAGTGTTGACACACCATCTGTGGACATAAACACATGGTTGTCAGGGTCAGCTGTAGGTCAGAGCATAATCTATCTACAACATACAAAACAGGGATAAAAGGAGAGAGAAAGCTCCACTTCTTTGCTTTTTATGTTATAAATATTACTTTGGTTTTTATAGCTGTTGTAGTCCGAATTCTGTTTACAGAATAAAAGAGCACCTTGTCCAAGGCTAACAAACATCTAAGCCATAAACAAATCACTCTGGGTCTTTGGAGACTCTCGGAATTATAACACCCAGCCCTCAAGAAATTATAGCTGAAAACGGTTTAGGTCTTGAATTAAGAGAGCTGGTGTACCAACAGTGGTTTCATGTCTTTTTGTTACTTTAGTCTTTTTTTTTTAATTTTACACCCAGTGATGCCAAACTACTAGATAACATTTTACACTAAACTGAGAGGGGCTGATGGGGCCTTGTGTGATTTGGTTTTATACAACTCCTGTCATTTATAAATGGCTTTGTCTTTGTGCTCTTGCTTGTGGAGTCACAGAAGTGTGTAGCACCTCCTACTGTGGTAGTGAATCAAAGTCAAATGGAGAGAGAAGATGATATTATATTGACTGTCTGAGCAGGCACCTTCCCATGACCCAGACACTTCACTGTAAGTCACTTGACTTCCAAAATGACATCTTCGGTACACACAAATTGTTTTACTACATTTTCACGCACACAGTAACTGATTCTGGTCACAAACCTCTGATTCTCTTCTCTTTCTGCAGGTGTCATGGTCTTCTTCTGCTTCAGGTGCTCGATGACAGCATTTTGTTTCATCACCACCTGAAACCCAACATGTTTAACAACAGAAAAGTTTATCACGAGAAGTGGTTATATAATGAAGCGTAAAGATAATATTCATACAACACATTGCAGAGGAAGCTTCATGTAGGCCACATTGTGACAAGTCACTGTGAATGGCTTTATTCATGTTTCTAGTCTGCAAGTGTGTTTTGGTTAGCCATGCTGCTAACATTCATGTTTCTAGTCTGCAAATGTGTTTTGGTTAGCCATGCTGCTAACATAGCCTACTCTACGTTAGCACCAATTTCTACCACCAGTGTGTCGGCCTTGATAGATTAAAAAACACTGTTTTACTTCCAAAAACGCAAGGCATGTTGCTATGGTGCGTTTGGCCAAACTCAAGAGTGAATATAAGTGAATGATCATGTTAATGTGGTAAACAAGACAGTCTTCTTCCCATGGGTGCCCAGGTTCCGACTGTCCTCTGTACATGTTTGGTCAACTCAGGGTCTTGTTGGATGATGTCACCGTGCAGTGCAGTGGCTGTGGTGTTTTGCCAGACCCCCCTGTGGTGCTGGTGCTTACTGCTGTGAACACAATCCTCAATAGAAATGAATGGAGGGCTGTGCTTTTTTACATCTTTGAAACTCGCTATGAACACCGCCTTAACATAAAGCCCAAGAAACAGAGACAGGAGCCAAGCTATAAAAATAAACCCAGCCTTAGCGTATCGTTGGATGACGACTTGTGACAATTTATATACTGACAAGGAGAGATGATTCTGGTCTGAGATGGATGGTCATACTTTAGTGGATGCCTGAGAACATGTGCATCTACACACCTGTTTCTGAATGATGTCGCTCTGGTTGGCAGCGTTGAGGGCTTGCTCTCTCTTGGCCTCTGCGGCTTGTCTCTTCTTCTGCTGTTGCTGTTCTCTGAGCTGCTGGATCCTCAGCAGCTGCTCCTGGACAGAAGATGCCTGGATGGTCACTACGTTTCCAATCTGTGCAAACAGCATAGTGATAATCAGCTCATGCACTGAATAAAGTTGCAGTTCTGTATTTTCAATTTATAACATGTTAAAAATGTTCTGATTTTGGTAAATACTGCAGTTATGTGGAGAAGCCGGGTAAAGAGGCAGGAGTCAGTTTTGTTTGTCAAACACCTCTTGACAGCAGTTAAACATGCTTTCGGCACTACCTGTCCTCCCTGAGCTGAGGTGGCCCCGCTCTGCTGTATCTGGATAGGAAGCTGCAGTTTGATGTGCTGTGGCAGAGACCCCCCACCCTGCTGTGCTTGGAGCTGGGCCAACACCTGCAGACATGACAGAGAAGGTGGAAAAAAAAATTAACAAAGCCAAAAAGAAAAGCCACAGTTTTTACTCTACATTTATATAAAGGTCACAGCTCATAGGCCAGAGTGGTCAATGCAAAATAAAAAAATGGTTAAAATAGTAGGTTTAACAAATTGAGCATGCACAGTGACCTTTTTTTTAGGCTTTCTAAAGTGTCAGTTACTTTTCCAATATAGAAACATCTTGTGCTGCTGGACACCATGTAGATTCAGCTATTCACTGGCTAAACCTTTTAGGATCATCTGACCTACTGCTCTCTGGAGGAGTAGGGTGAGGTTAACGTTTCAGTACCGATCACCAAGTCTCCTTGCTAATCATACCTGTACCTGCTGCTGCAGTCCAGACATACTGAGGAGCTGAGGTGTCTGCTGCAGCTGCACCTGGGTGGTTCCTCCTGGCGTTTTCACCTGCAGTGAGGCGGGAGACTGGATGGGCATGTGGGCGTGCGTCTGCGGGGGTAAATGGCCTTGTGGGGTTGCTGAAGTAGGGCTGGTGGTGGCGGCTAGTGGAGTTGCCCCTGCCTGGACGGGGGCGGCTGCCTGTTGGGCAGGCTGGACTGGGGTTTTGGTGAAGGTGGAGTTAGGCGGACCGGAAACTGTGGTTGCTTTTTTGGGCGGAGCAGGCACACAGGATTCAATTGTTAAAATGTCACTTTTAAAATATGTCAGATATTCACAGACCCTAACACTGATCTGTGAAAGGAATTCTCTCTTTTTCACTAAGATTTCTAATATATTCATGAAGATTATAATCTACAACTCACCAAGTAGAAAAACATTAAATTCACATTCAGGTTAAAGTTGTTTATGAATTGTTTGATTCAAAATCAGTGGAGAGCTGGATAAAAACTGACCTGCCCGACAAAGGATAACAGTCAAGTGATCCATGCTCGTTACCTGTGGTTGATGTGGGTGTGGCAGCTGAAGCCAGGGGGGTGAATAGGAAGCGCTGCACCTGGCCATTGGGCAATGCTGCCTGCATGAGCTGCTGACCAGGTCCTGGGATGACAGTGACCCCATGAGGTATAACCTGCAGCTGGCCAGTGGTCTGGCCCTGGCCCTGAACCATCACTGTCAGAGCCTGCTGGGTACCACCGATGCCAGCCTGTCGATCCACACCTGAACCAGCCTGCTGCTTCTGCAGGACCCAGAGAGGAGAAGCTTGTTAACCAGAGCAGTGCTACCTAATCCAGAATAAGATGGTTGAGTTGAAAAACTGTGTTGGATAAGTCAGGTGAGTAATCTCATTTTTTTTTCCAAACCTTGTTACAAACAGGTGGAATTGTGTAACACCAACTCTACTTTCTTTATTTCTATTTCTAGCATCTATTCACTGTATAAACTTTTTAATTTTTTAAAAGCTTTCTCATTTGTGACTCTAAACTCTTTCTCCCAGGGTTTGTCCCATGTGTTCTAAGTTTTGCCCTTTTTTAGAGAACTTGAGCTGGGTCATAAACCTTTACCGGTATTAGGTTCTAAAACCCCATATAAAACCTTTATATGTGAAATTGGGCTCTACAAATAAAGTTGACAGACCACAGCCTTTTTTTTGCCAGTTAAGCCTCTTTACAGACAAGCAATGGAACCCTGAAATTAAATGGTCTTATACTTGTATAGCGCTCTTCTATGCACACTCAAAGCGCTTTCACACTATTTGCCCATTCACATTCCCAAGCACTTACACGTTCACACCTGTGATATCACCTGGAGCAAATGGGGGCTCAGTGACTTACTCAAGGACACTTTGACATGTGGACTCGAGAAGCTGGGAACTGAAACATCAACCTTCCGGTTAGGAGGCGACCTGCTCTACCTCCTGAGCCACAGCCGCCCCCCAGACATCTAGACAATACCCAGAGGAGCTATATGTGAGAACACAAATTGCCAAATCGGCTGACCTGTATGTTAAGCGGACTTTCCTCTGCTAGCTCCCTGTAATGTCTGAGTGAGCCAAAGTGTCCATGTGAGAAACCAGCAGTGTATAATCCAGAGTATTCACACAGAGCTAGTGGGTGTGCCATTCTATCATGTGGCCAGTGCAAAACTGGAAGAAAAACATCCAATTGTGAAGAAAAATGGTCATTTACAATGAAGATATCAGCAAAAGTATCTAACTGGAGACACAAGAGATTCAGGAACGTTTGTCATTAAGAGCCAGGACCAGAATCATCAGACAAATCTAAGGTATGAAAAGAGACTCGATTGTTTATGACCACACTACAAACTGATTGTGACCAACTTTCTCATTCATTCCTAATTTAAACCACATTTTCATCCTGCCATCATCACTCAAAGTATGACCAAATTATAAACTGAAAGTATTTGAGTTTGACTCCGTGAACCAAATGGAATACTTCCAGAACACATCTGACACGGACTACCTCCTGTTGTGTGATACATGTGTGAAAGGGCAACTCTGGACAAAGGCCTGATTCTGTGGCTTTAGTGAATCTGAATACCACCCCACAAGAATGTGTTCTTCCTCTGTCATTAAAGAAAACCCACAAAAAGAAACAGAAACTGTCCAATGTAATATTTCTATCCGAATACCAGTATTAGGACCATATGTAATTGATACATTCAAATATAACGTTATTCGTCAAAGACACATTTTGTTCATATTTGGGAGGCGTTCATGACGTCCAGGAGTTTTCCGTGTCTCTTCACTGACCTGTGTGAGTTGGGTGAGCTGTGCCAGTGTCAGTTTAACCTGGCCCTGCCCTTGTGCCCGTGGGGCGCCGGGTGGGGTCTGTCCTGCCTGTCCTCCTGTGGTGGGGCTGGCTGGCCCCTGCCCCGTTACCGTGGCAACGGGGCTGGCACCAGATACTGCTGTGGAAACTGCCTGGCCACGAATGATCTGTGTCACCACTTGCTGTCCAGCCTGACCTGGAAGAGGGAGGCATGGCATACAATAAAACACAGGCACTACACATGCAGCGAAACGCTGGGCAACACTGAGACATGTTGTCTCACTGAGAGAAGGTGAAACGGGCTGAAGTTAATTTGAAGCTAAACTTCCAGTCAGTGTGCATGATGCTATTTCACCAACTGATACTGAAACATTCAAACATTCATGAAGTGCACATTACCTTGTTGGACCACAAGGGGCGTTCGGAGTACTGTCTTCCCCATGGGTCCTGTCTGCTGTATCGGGGTTCGAATCACTGTCATTCCTGGACGGATCTGACCACCAGCTGCCAGAACCTAAAAAGATAGTTTCATCAAGATGTTACTACTAAGTATTTCAGTGAGAAGTTTCCTCCCAAACTGCCAGAAATACAATGATGTCAAAGTTCAAGGTAAAAAAAAAAAAAAGAAGAAAAAAAAAAAGGAGGAAACAGATTAAAAATAGTGACTTGGCTTTAAATTATATACATAAGATACTAGTATACACTGTGAGGACAATAGAGCAGAAAGCAATAGAGGGAAAAGGAAAGCAGAAACACATTACAAATGTCAGCAAGTAAAACTACTCCTTTATGAATATTTCAGAGCAACAAGAAGGCAGATGTACCTGTTGCTGTGAGCTTGGGGTACTGGGCCTGATATTGAGCGTGGTAGTGCGGGGTTGGAATGGGCTGTAGCTCTGGGCGCCGCCCGCT